CTGAGCCAACATTTTGGTTGCTAAGCAAGAGCATTGTTAAGTGAGTTTTACCACATTTTACATGTTGTCCACGCCCACCCAGTCACATGACTGCCAAGCCACTCCCACCTGGTCACATGGCTGGCAAGCCACTCCCACCCACACATGGCCAGCAAGCCACTCCCACAAAGCAGGCCACACCTACTGAAGAGGATCTAAACATTTTTGAAACCCACCACTGAGTAATACCCAGTTAGGAGCTGGGCAGGAGATGCATTGGAGATGTTTCTAGAGGACCTTGTGTCTAGAGGGTGCTACCACACCATTTTTTCCAGTGGTGGTATTCAAATAATTTAAAAGCTGGTTCGCTGCCCTAATGACTGGCTGGATGGACATGGACATGGTGGGCGTCGCCAGGGGGTGTGACAGGCAGCACTCTGCCTCCTACACACACACATGGAACAAAAACAGGCTACAGGGGGAGGGGCCTAGTAGGTCTCCCTACAGCTTCCTGGGAGCAAAGAGGGGTTGGGGAGGGGCGCTCCACCCCGCTGTGCTGTTTTGGGCCTAGTAGGCCTCCCTGCAGCCTCCTGGGAGCAAACATGGGCCATAGAGGGGATGCCCTACCCCCCCTTTGCCCCATGTTGGGCCTAGTACTGGCTAAGCCAAAAACAGGGCATGTGGGGACTCCTGGAAGAGAAGAGGCAGGAAGGGGCGGGGCTAGCCAGCAATTTAACAACTGGTTTTCCTGAACTGGCCTGAACTGGCTGAATCCTACCACTGATTTTATCTGAATTCCTAGACCACTACGATATACTCTACATGGGGAGTGCCTATGAAAATTATTCAAAACCTTCAGCAGCAGCCCATGTAGCATACAGAAGTTCACTTATATAACACTACCACTATGGGAATTGGTCTAATTATCAATCAATTTTTGAATGGAGCCTAAGATGCTGGACATCACTTTGGAAAGCCTATGTTGCACTGGGCCTGTATACTTCTGAGACTTCTTTCTCGGAGCTGAAGCTGTGTGTCTGGTGAGACATAGAGAGAAGGCTTGATGTAGGTTCTACCACCAAAGAAATGAAGGGATCCCGCAATTGAGTTAGTGAAAACTATCTATGGACCATCCTCTTTCTATTATGTTTCTGGACCGTGGAAAAAACATTCGGGGTGAAGAAACCATTTGAATGCATCAGATTTGTTCTAATTTTTGTTGCAAGCTGATTTTTTCTGTTAATTTTAATCATTCTTGAATCAGCATGTTGTAAGCCTCTTTGGAAATGTATGGTGTATAAACAGGATAAATTGAAGTTCCTATTAGAAAGAGCAACTGTGGAAGGGAACATATATAGTTCATGGAGCTAGACTATACTGAAATTTTAGGTGGAAAGTATGGTCTGTGACATGTATTTATAAGCAGAAAACTCTAAAAATATTAAAATAATCATACTCATGAACTCACCAACACATTAGTACACTGAACAGCAGATGCATTTAGCCACTGAGCTTCAAATATCCTATCACTTTCAGTTTCAAAGTGACACTCCAAAGGCATTTCCTAAACAGTAAAAATGTAAGGAGGAAACTGTAGAATAATAACATTTTACATACTTTCTAACAGAAAAGGGGTGGTTTTTAGGTATTCATTTTCTTATACATTGATAAATCATTGAGCTAAGTTCTGAACTCAAATTAGTGAATATCATTTATTATAACAGCAATAATAGTAATGATTATGCACCTTAATTCCAGGAATCTTGTTGAAATAACTAAACATTTTACATATTTTAAATTAAAATACATTCAATTTCCCATAGCTCAGAGATGGGCCACCCAAATATATGAATAGAAGAAATACATATTTGAATAAATGCAATATCCTAGTTAAATGTTCTCATAATTACAAAATATTCCTGCCTATGGTGTTAAAAGCTGATGTCAGTAAAATTAGACAAAAATAGACAGACAAACCAGCAATCCAATTTACTGTATATTTGTAAATAGTTTCATAGGAAGGTAAGAAATAACATGTATTTCAATTATTGAAAGTTTCACTATCATGTCTTAAATTTTCAGCTTTAAATCCAATAGTTAGATATTTGTAAATCCCTTCTGTTTGTACTGAATCTAACATATACAGTATATCACACCTCTTTTCCTACATACCGACAACCAAATGATCTTTTCAAAAGTGCATTAATAACACTGTATTTTTACTCCTACTTAGCAATCACTCAAATAGGAGCAATACATGAATATTTGAAGAGATAATGAAGAAAGGGAGAATATACAGTCAGATTATTAGAAACTTCACTTTGATGTGATCCCAATCAAAAATTGTCCCAATGTAGCATGAAACAGTATTTAGATAGGCAAAAGGTGAGATCTTCTCCTTCATTAATTGAAAGACATAGGATGATAACTTTAAAATTTTGGATCTTGGTTCAGTTTCTAGGATAGATTTCACCAGGGATGGACTTTAAAAATTTCACCAGTGGGTCCTCTGCCCGGTTGCTGGGTGGGCTGGCCATGGTGGGCATGGCCTAGTTGGCTTCCTGCACCATGGAGGGGGGGGGCATTTTCACCTTCTCCAGGCTCCAGAGGCTTTCCTCAAGCCTCTGAGAGGACGAAAACTGCCTCCCTTGGGCTCTAGAGGACCCCCAGAGGCTGGAAATGGGCCTGTTTCCGGCCTTCTGAAACTTCCAGGAGGCCTGCTTTTCCCGCTCCCCGTGCCTCTGGGTGAGCCCTGCATTACCTCACATCCAAAACAGGCCACACAGAAACTCCTGGGAGGGGAGGGGTGGGATGTAGTGGAGAGGGCAAGCAGGGGTGGGATTTGGAAGTTCTCCGAACCGGCCATAATGTTAGCTACAGGTTCTCCTGAACCTGGGCAAACCCATAGCAGCCCACCCTGGTTTGCTACTTTCTGCTTTTAACAAGCTGCATTTCTCTTTTTTTAGTCATGCGGATATCCAAAAATCAGTATGGCAAACTTCTCTTGTGAGAACTGTATGCCTGCAAAATTCACTGGGTAATATATTAGGAAAAAAATTCTTCAAGTTTAGAAGTACATTTTCCCCGCAAATGAACCTTTTGAAATATTATGAATACATATATGACTATCATTGAATTACATATAAGAAATTTCAAGTAAATGCTTTTAATGGAGCATATTCTTTCTTTCCTACTTAGCACCCTCAGTCACTTGTAGTTCTTCTGTTAAGGTCCTGAGAATGACTATGGCGTTATTGCTAAGGGAAACCCATGTCATATATTAACTTAATTTAATATTCTCAATTATCTGACTTTAGGTGCAAACATAGGATCTACCTCCACTTCTTTCTTTTCTTTCTTTTACAAAGTCTATTTACTTTATTACCTTTATAAAAGCAGCATTTCTCAAAGTGATTGTAATCTCCTGTAAAGTCCCTGTGGATACTGGTGCAAGAGAAACAGGCACAATCTGTGGACAATCAGTACTGTTCTGTATTTCAGGAAACAAGTGAAAGAATTGAAGGTCAGTGTGGAAAAAATTCAACCTTCTTAACATTGAGATAGCAGAACCAAGCTACAAAAATGGATGTTGTCACAAGTTATTCTTATTAGCTTAGAGAACTCCCACATTGATAATTCTTTACATAATAGAAATAGTATTTTATTTTAGTATAAAATAAGTTCTACTATAATCTATGATCTTATTTCTAGAAAGTATACTAAACCATTGCCTGCATTAATATGTTACCCGAATTTTCAACTTTAAAAGTACACTGGGAAATAGTGTAAATTGTGAACTTAATGGACAGATGCCAAATGAATGTTTGGTAAGAAATGACACCTTTGCTTGCACAGCCTCAGCACTTATTAGTGTGAAAGCAAAAGAAACTTCACCAACATTCTCCCTAAGGTGTGAAACTTGATTGGCTTGTGATATTTCTTTTTTTCTTCATTATATATCCATAGATGAACACTCAGCTTTCTGACTTCAGGCAACTCTGTTATCAATCTGGGATTTTTCACAGTGAAATTAATTTGTTCACAAATTAAATGGAAAACCATATGCTCTCCTCAGCTGTCAATATGAAGTAGCTTCTATACCCACTGTTTCATCAGAAGAAAATAATCGAATGATGCTAACAAAGATACAGTGTGTTTTGTATAGAATCAGATAGAGTCTTCACAGGTATTTCCAGGTTCATACTGAAATATTCCTTGAATTGGAGTGCAGCTCAGGTGAAGGTGTTTTTGGAGGTTCATCGTCACACTCCACAGAAGCAAGGCTGATATGTCAACTATAACATTATCGGAATACAGTGTGATTGCTTGTATCCAGAGTATATTGCTGCAGAAACTCTACACTATTCTTCCTCTTCAGGAAGGCTTCAGACATTTGAATTTGAGAAGAACAGCTCACATTAGACATTGGAAGCTGTGATATGCTAAGGCGACAAGATACCAGTTTCTGCATCCAATGCACTAGCTACTCATTTGCTGTTATGTTTGATTCAAATGACTGGCTTTGTTTTCTAAAATCAGGTTTAGGACGGCTTCTGGCCACAATTTTTCAAATGAATTGCAAGATTTCCTACTATTTTGAGATATATGTTATTATGCATATAGCAAAGCCCTAACACAGAATTAGTTTATATCAGATATATTAAAATATCCATTAGGAAGAATGTAGGCTTTGGTTTATATCGAAACCTTTAAAGGAGACCCCCAAATTATGGAATTTCCTGTTCTGGGAAATATTTTAGAGAACGCCTGAATTTTGTTTTCTTTTGGTTGGTCTTCAATGATAAAAAGAGTTGCGTCTCAGATTTTATTATTCTGCACTGAAGTATTTTATAATTTTCATATTACAAAAAGATGACTTAAAAGATTATTGTACTCTTAACTTGTTACTGTGGTTTTGTTTTGTAGCTAATTTTTTTAAAAAATAGAAGTTGATATGGATTTAATTACTTTAGTATTTTTAGAATGTCTTGAGAAAAGAAATGCAATTTAAAGATTTATATATTAAGTAAATACACCAATGAGACAAATAAAGAAGAGGATATAAGCCAATTTGATCAGGAACTTATTCTAGCCATTACATCAGGGGTATCAAACTCAAGGCCTGGGGGCCTGCTCTGGCCTGTGGGGTGCTTAATTTAGATTTCTCATAAAATATAGGATACAAAATGATATTTCAGGGATCAAAAAAATTAATACAAATTAAAAACACTGAAATTGCTAACATAGTGAGAGTTTTGGAGGTGTGTATGTATGCCCCCCATCAAATCACCACTAAATTCAAAACCATTAGATAATTACTTATTATTTTCTATATAATTTCAGTTAGAAAACAATGCTAAACTTAGAAGCATTTCAAAAACACTTTATAATAGGCCAACACATTTCAAATTTAACAATAAATAATTCAGTAAAATCCCTCTTAAAAACTTGATGTGAAAATGAGTAAGTAGATAATACAGGAGATTGTAAGAAAATGGGATCAAGGGCAAAAGACCATCAATTTCTTTAAAATCTGGAACAAACCAATTTATCTTAAACCAATTTAATAAAACCTCAAAGGAGAGATTTTATTAGTGGGTGCTTGTATCAAGAATATATTTTCTTATGTGGTTGCAAATTATTGGTCTCTAGGTGACAGACAGGAAAAGCACATTCTCTGACAGATATCCCACTACTAAAACTTAATATGGGCTTTGTATGCCTTTATAGGTAGCTTCAGAACAGGTATTATATGTTCTAATTGCCCTTTTCAATGAGGTAACACAATGCAACATTCTGTAGTAACCCACCATGGAGTACACTGCCATAATCTAATGCAGATGTTCCAAGTATAAAGAACAAGTGAAGTTAATCCTATCTAGGAACAGCAAAGCTAATGAACCAGCTATAGCTGGAAAAAAAAAGCCATTCCTTGCTCAGATATGGGTCTCTATGTTCTGATAAATTTTCCACTTTGGTGGTGGGGGAATGGTATAGACTTGAATATTCTTGATTCCAAATCTGAAGTATATTATTCCTAAGCTAGTGCAGTGATATAAATAGCATTTCCAATTTTATTTATTTATTAAATAAATAAATGCTGCCCATCTCCCCAATAAGGGGACACTGTTATTTCTCTTATTTCTGTGTAACATCATTCAACTATTCAAACTTTCAGGCAGAAAATGAAAGGTAATTCTACAATGTAAAAATCTCTCTCACCATTCTTCCCCCAAATATATAATTTAAGTATAAGTAAATGGATCAGATTTAAGATTTATAATAAAAAGGCTTAGGTTATCTAAAAGAAGAGGGAGGGAGAAACAACCTAACTTTGCTATATTTTTCTCCACAATATCCTATTAAAACAATTACAACTCAATATGTATGAATTACATTAATTGAGAAAACAGTTTTCAATGATGGACAATATTTTTTCTTCTGCTGTCATTAAATAGTTTGAGACAAATAAAGTGAGACAAATGGAAAACTAAAACTTAAAGGGGTAAACAATGTTCTCCAACTTAAATGCTACAAACATTTGCAAGAAGAAAATGCCTCTTGTTTGATTATTCCTGTCTTCTCAATAAACTTAAAATGCTTCCTTCGTGAGGGGGAAAAACCTTATTTTACTACTTTCAGAAGACTACAAGTAAAGAAGTAATTTGACAGAATGGCAGCATTCTGACCCATAATCCTCCTCAATTTGAACAAAAGCAAATTCAGAAAGGAAGGGAATGTCTGCATACTTGATGTAAAAGCAACCACTTCAGTTGCTAGAAAAAGAAACACTACAGAATCATTTAGCTATCTACAATTCCATCTCCTGCCTTGTGAAAATTTAGTGTGTCTTGGGGGTGACACAGGAAAAAAATTGAATGTTCAAAAAATTCCCTTTTTTGTATATGTTCAGTCTAGCTAATTCCATTATCATCATTCTTCCATTTTCCAGTGACACTATAGATCTTTGCTTACAAGAGGAAATGTCAAGTGCTTTAGCTGAAAAATAGATAAAGCATCAAACCACAAAAAACCATTACCCAAAATATCACTGAAAAGGGGGGAAAATGAAGCCCTGCTTTTAAAAACTTCTCTGAATTGCGTAGTTCCCAGTTCATTTAAAATGCTATTAGTCTTTCCTGCAAATTAATGGTTGCTCTCCTACAGCAAGAAGTAGCAAAATTAAATCTCATTGAAAATGATAGGATTCTACAGCTGTCTGAACAAATAATATAGGGCACTGGCTGCTGAACTTAAAAACACTTGCATTTCCAGTTATTATAATGCTTTAAAAATCTTCACTTAGATTGAAAAGCCATTTTCTCTGCAATCCAAATTCAACATATCTGATATGTACATAAAGCTTTAGTTGCAAGGAAGGGCTTCTCTTCAGTAGGATGAAAGCAGTTTTGCTGTGCTCATAATAAGGGAATGAGGAAGAATTATGGAATTGAAGACCAGAATGGTTTTTTTTCTACCATACAAGCTAAGGAACAGTGCTAATAGCTCTCTCTTCTAAACTAACCCTCCCCACCAAGTCAAAAAACCTCTATCTATTTGAATCAGTTATTGCTACTTAAATATATGCTTAAACTCCAAGGTTTGACATTTTAAAATCTCTTAAAAGGACAGGTTACTATAAATTAGTGCTGTACTGAATTTTCATTAGGTCCTATTTCAGTTTTGAAAATTGTAATGCTGAGATTTGTCCAAAAGTACATTAAAAACTCTTCGGGGTGCTTCATTGTTTTCTTGCAGACATGTCATTACCCAACTAGACAACATCTCCAGTGCTTTTTCCACACCAAGCAATGAAAAATAGGCTCTGAGTTTTAAAGTGGCACTTGCCATTTTAATATGTAAAAGTCCTCTTCTTTTTGTAAAGCATTTGCTAAAGTGAGGAAGAATTGCCATGACCTAGTTTACATTTAAAGGGTGTATAACAAATGAAGAACATTTTATTGTTAAAAATGTCTGTAAAGCAGAAATGGTTATTAAAGATAATCACTAACAAGCCCAGTGTTCACTTCCAAGGTGTGTTAAGGGTTAACCTACTAAATCCTAACCCAGCTGCTCCCTTTCTATGCTTTAGTCTTTTGTTTTCAGTCTAAGGAAATCAACTGAATGCTGCAAACCATGCATACTTATGTTTTATCACTCTAGCAACTACATTCTAAATGGATGAACCAGGTATATTCAGCTCCACAGCGGGTACGGCTACCTGATTGTACCTGAATTGGAAAATGCCATTGCACATTTGGTGTTTAATCCTTTAGAAATCTATTACTAAGATTTCTGTACTTAAACAGTGCTTATGATCTGAGACTGTGAAGCTGCTTTCCATAAAGGCTCTAATTATTGCAACTAGACAGGTTTTAAAAAATGCACTTGGAACACTGAAATCAGGAGAAACAACATGATGGATACAATGCAATAAGCAGATGAGAATTGTGCCACAGACAAGCAACTGATCAAAACAAGCTTCATATT